CGGGCTGGACTCCGCTTTGTCCACGGTGAAAGCCGATCCGGTGATCCACAGCGCAAATTTGTTGTATTTCCTCAGCGACCAGCACGGATCAGCTCCAGGCATGACGAAGCAGATATCGTCCTCTTTTGAAAGGCCAAACAAAGTAGTTTCACTTTCCCAACGAATCACACAGCGTCTTTACGACATGGCGGCGGCAGCGGCAACAACAATACTACAGCGAGAATAAAAGTTACGCCTTCTTTCTTTGCGTGAACATTTGGGCGGCGTTATGCAAATCTTCCCACATCGCGACGTAGGTATGTGGGGGCGTGTTAGAACGAGCCGTTTTAGGTAGGTGTGGCTGACTCTAATATCTCTTTGGATTTGAGACTTTAGTCTTTGCAACTTTACAGATCTTCTTTATGCACCAAGAGCTTGTAACACTCCAAAGAGAAAGGAAAAATTGAAATCGCATCATATGACCTCTTTAAGTTAATTGCAGAAAGCTCTAAATGTTTTACCTTGAGTTGCGCTTGTATCTGCAAGCTGTCTGAATTATGTTTCATCTGCTCATTGCCAAAAACGGCATGTTATGTGTTCTGGGTGTCATGTTCTCAGTCTTGTTTCTCATTGGCTGTATTGCAGAGTGATCGGCACTCATGTCTCCAAGACACACTCAGCATAGTTAGTAGAGCATAGTTTCAGTGCCTGCGCGGTGATGAATTAATCTGTTTGCCCAGGGTGTACTGTAACTTCTTATGCAATTTTTATGACTTCATATTAATTGAGACATTATATAAAATATTCATTTGTCTTATCACAGGCCTATTTAAATATAAAAAAGCATGATATTTTTCAGCAATACTTTAGGGACCAATTCTCACTTTTAACTAGTTGCTTATTAGCTTGCTTATTACTAGTATATTGGCTGTTTATTAGTACTTATATAGCACATATTTAATGCCTTATTCTGTGTGATCATATTTTAGAGCCCATAATCCTACCCAATACCTAAACGTAACAACTACCGTACTAACTGTTAATAAGCAGCAAATTAGGAGTGAATTGAGACAGAAGTCATAGTTAAAAATTAGTTAATAGTGAGAATTAATGTGACCTATTTTTCTTATGTTGCAAAAATATATAATCCATATAATTTTGTCTAGTAATTTCACTTTTTTCTTTTTTCGTTTTTTTTTAAACAACAAGTTATAATTGTGGCATAAGTCAAAGTCAAAATTATGACAAAAAAATGTTGACTAGTGTCATATTTGTGACTTTTTGTCACAAATTTGCCATTTTTATCTTTTAATTCTGACTTACAGTTGTATGTCATAATTTTGACTTTTTATCTTATAATTCTGACGTTTTTATCTCATTAATTTCGGCATTTTGTGTCATAATTATGATTTACCAAAGCATGATTTTCTTTTTCATTGATAGAATCCTATAAATTTTAACCTAAAATCTTGATGGTTTAAATTGTCATTGTAATATTAAAATAATGTTTTGAAATACATGTTTTGTGCAAGTTTTGGTGGTCTTATGTCTAGCTATCCAGGCTTTGGACTCCAATAGAGGGGGCCAAAGTCCAGATGCAATTCTTTACTCGATATCAGACTCAGCGCTAACACAAATATCACTAACATACTTTCTGTGCTCATAAATCACTTGGTTGTTATTTTCAGGCACAGAAGCAATCCGGCTGATTATTCACAAGTGAATAGCTCAGAAAAAACAGCCCAAGATTATTAGAGATCCCATCTACCCACAACGCAAAGCATACAGATGTGACTAACTAACTATATATCCAGATTTAAGCCAGCACCCTTCAATATTTTCAGTGTAGTTTAGGAGGCTGGACATAAAGTAATGTGATTTCACAAAAATACAAGTTATTTGATTTTTACATCAATGCATTTTAAATATTGTTTTATTTGTTCCTTCTTATAGTGACTTATAAGCAAGTTGCCAACTGTTGCAAGATGAACGCAACCCCTAATAATATATCAGCTCTCAGTTTCAGGGAATCCCTGTGACCACAACATGTGCATTTGACACCTCAGCGTCTGTGCATACAAGATGTGTGTTACCTCAGCTCAGTGAGGTGGAAGTGACAAAACTGTTGCCTGTTTTAGGCACATACCTCTCTTTTTCTCTGTACAGCATGTTCTCTTTGTCGGGAATAATTAAACCACAAATACAGCTGTCAGACGAGCACTCGGTGACCCCATGCAGTAGCAGCATTTACTGTACATTTTATGACTCTCTATCGTGGGATAGTATCTCAGTGTGGCCTCAGAGAATATATATATATATATTTTTTTTACCTTTTGCCTAGGTGACAGCAAATTGAATTTGACTCTAAAATGTTACCTTGATCCCATAATGACAATTTTTATTTTCACAATTTAATGAAAAATCTATCAGATTTTATTTAGTTGTTTTATTCTTGATTTATTTTTGCTGTTTATTGCATTTTCATTTTGTAAAATATTTATTTTGAATCATTCATATTGCTTGATTAATTTAATTTAATTTATTCATAAATATTTATTTTTATTGCATTATATTGCTCGATTGATTGTGATCAGTGTTGGGGAAAGTTACTTTTAAAAGTAATGCATTACAATATTGCGTTACTCCCTAAAAAAGTAACTAATTACGTTACTTAGTTACTTTTTATGGAAAGTAATGCGTTGCATTACTTTTGCATTACTTTTTAAATCTGGGCTGGGCTTATTTGTTTGTTTTTAATATAAAAAGTTCTTCTTTTACAAATGTAAAAGCCCTTTCACAACAAAAGTGAAATGAATGAGCCTCAGGCTGAAGGAAATGTAAATTCACGTCTGTACAGTAGAGGGCGCAGCTCAAACAAATTGCATGAAGAATATGACGCAGGAGAAGAAAGTTCACTATTCAGCAATAACAAAAATGAAACACAAATGTGTCATTTTTGCTTAGTATGGTTGAATTGGATCATCGAAGGTCAGCAGCAAAGACATTGGTTAATAAAATGGGATTAAATACATAAATGATATTTGTCTTATTTAACATATTTAATTATTGCAGGTTTGTATAATATTCTGTGTTTGCATTTGACTGTTTTTATTCATTTTGAGGAATACTGAATCTGTTCATATTTAGTGTAGAACTTACAGTAAGCATCATATTCACACAGCGCACACAACGGCTCTGCACGTACTCCCGATTTCTCTCAATATGGCAACACAAGAGCTGTCAGTCAATACATGGGTGGAAAAAAGTAACTGGAGTTACTTGTTTCAAAAAGTAACTCAGATATGTCCTACTAAATTAAAAAGTAATGCGTTACTTTACTAGTTACTTAAAAAAAGTAATCTGATTACGTAACTTGCGTTATTGTAATGCGTTACCCCCAACACTGATTGTGATATAGCATTGCTTATGATTTATTACTGAAAAGGGCTAAAAAAAAGGGGTAATGTTGTTCCTGGTTTTATCATTTAACGTGGCAACACTTGATCTTTGATTTTACAGCATGTGTGTGTGTGTGTGTGTGTGTGTGTGTGTGTTCTGTAGTGTGTCATCTGGTTTTGACGGTATACGGGAGCAGAATATCTGTAACAACATTATGGCCAAGCTGATCCAGAACTGCAGCGCCATCTTTAAGCCTGTGGTGGAGAGAAGACAGATCGAAGAAAAACCTTCAAACCTCATCATGGTCAAAGTGAGTGTGAGTGACAAAACATATTAACTCCCATTGAACTGCCACTTCACTTGCCTTCGGTTGGCAGCCATCTAATATGCCATAGACAAAATAATTTAAGAATAATAAATATAATTGTTCAGTGCAACAGAATAGTCATTGAAATGGAGGCATTTCATTTTAGTACATGCAAACAAAGTAAAATTGGGGTCCAAACCACTGTTGTTTTAGTATCCTTACCTCACTATCTTAGTATTTATTAAGATTTTGAATTATTTTTCAAATTAAGAATAATAATTATAATTGTTCGGTGCAAGGGAACAGAATACTGTTTGAAATGGAACAATATAATATTAGTAAATGCAAACGCACTAAAATTGGGGTCCAAGCCAGTGTTAGTATCATTACTGTACTATATTAGTGTTCTTATATTTTCTCTTTGCCTTTTACATTTAGTTGTTTTATTCATTTTGCTGTGTTTTAGTCATTTTTATTTTTGTCTTTTTTTTAAATTAATTTTCATTTCCGTTTTAGTATTAGTAATAGTACTTCACCTAAACAAAAGTTAGAAATGTTGCTTTCACAACTAACTAAAATAAAAATTTTAAGTAAGATTTTTTTTCTATTCAATTTTATTTCAATTACTGTAAATATTTTTAGAATTTTTAGTTTTAGTTAAGACTAACAACACTGGTTCAAAAAGTCATGGGGCCCTATTTTAAAGATCTAAGCGCATGGTCTAAAACGCACGGCGCAATTGCGCTTAAGGTGTGTCTGAATCCACTTTTGCTAGTTTAAGGACGGGAAAAATGGTTGACGTGCCCGGCGCATGGTCTAAAAGGGTTGTCCTTATTCTCTTAATGAGTAATGGGTGTGTTTTGGGCGTAACGTGCCATAAACCAATCAGAGTCTTGCGCGTAATTCTGATACATGCAAAGACTATCCATTATGACATGTAGGCATTTTTATATTTATGTACACAATAATAATCTTTTACATTTTAATCCTTTAATTTTTCATTTTTAAAAATGTTTGTGTGCTGCTGTGCGTCCATGTGTGTGTAATAAGAAAAGTGTATGCGCGTTGTGCGTTGTGCGTTGTGTGTAATAGGCGCATATTACTACCGCACTCTTTAAATAACAAAAAACAAATATTGCGCCAGACTTTAGACCAGGTTTTTGTTGGTCAATGGCGCAGTCTATTTCAGTTGCCTCAAAATAGCAATGCGCCTGAACACACCTCGTTTTCAGACCAGCACGCCCATGGGCGCACAAATGGGTGCAAATGCATTTGATATTTAAACAACGTGGCGCAGGACGTGAAAATGACAACTGCGTCGAGCTGAAACTAGCAAAAAACACTTGCGTCACGCCTGGCGCCGCATTGCGCCACGTATGATAGGGCCCATGGTGTTCATTTGAGCAATGCAAGTTTGAATTTGGCTTGCAACATTTCCCCAACCTCTTCATTTATTTAGTTAGATTTGAACTTCTGAATTGTTTTAAGACGTAACTCAGTACATCAAATGCCTTCAAAAGTGCAGTTCAACTGAGAAAATCAAACCCATGTATGGAAACACATCCTTCACAACCCAAAACATGCCACTTTCTCCTTCTTCAGCCTAGTAGTCACATGCATAGACACTGTGTCTCCCTGACCTTGCTTTGTTGCTGTTTGCACCGACTCGCCAAAACTTCAAGACGTCATCGTGCAATCTCTCTTATGCCACCATCAACAACATCTGCTTTTCTGCATTTGCTCTTTAGTTTCAGTTGTCACATGAAATTGTGTTGTCTTCTGAATGCATCAGTCATGTGCACTGATGCTTTGTTGCTGTAGTCAGTGGGTTCAGGTGATCTCATGTGAATCCCTGAGTGTATTGTTTTGTTCCCAGGAGGCCAACACAAACACCGAAAGCACAGAGACGTCACCTTTCACTCCTGTTCCTAAGGCACACACTCCACATGTCAAGAAGATGAAGGTACAGGTGATAGTATATGTGTGTGTATTCGTAGATGTGTGTATGCCTGTATTATCAACCTGTTACGGTACACAGACTCAGTGTGGGTTTGTTTCCACAGTCCATGTCAAATTCCAGTGACATAGCAGTTCAGAAACACCAGCAATCCAATAACACTTCTCGCCCTGAGGTTAAAGGTACAATCACAAGACTCAGCTTTGAGTTTAATCCAAATGATGCAGATCTTAAGTCAGTCAAAGGCTATTTTTTAAAGGAATAGTTGAGCCAAAAATGAAAATTTGTTGAAAATGTATTCACCCGCCAGGCCATCCAAAATGCAGATGAGTTTTTTTTTTCTCTTCATCAGAACAGATTTGGAGAATTTAGAGCATTGCATCACTTGCTCACCAATGGATCCTCTGCAGTGAATGGGTGCCGTCAGAATGAGAGTCCAAACAGCTAATAAAAACATCACAATAATTCACAAGTAATCCACACCACTCCAGTCCATCAGTTAAGATCAAAGCTGCATATTTGCAATAAACAAATCCATCATTAAAACTTTTTTAACTTCAAAATGTCACTTCTGGCCAAAATATAAGTCCATAATCCATAAGGCTTACTCCAATAAAAAAAACTCCATCCTCTGTTGTCCTCTCACATGAATATCCACCAGCATATTTTTTTAAAGGGGTCATATGATGCAATTTCAAGTTTTCCTTTAAACTCCATCCTCTGTTGTCCTCTCACATGAATATCCACCAGCATATTTTTTAAAGGGGTCATATGATGCAATTTCAAGTTTTCCTTTCCATGTCTCGTCGCGCCTAGACACGCCATCACAGTATGGTAGGGGCTTAACATTTCCATCACACGCTTGAGGTATTCGGCCAATCACAACGCACTGGATAGCTGGCCAATCAGAGCACACCTCTCTTTTCAGACCGATGAGCTTTGTAAAAATCTACGCACTTCAGAAAGGCGGGGCATAAAGGAGAAACAATAATGTACAGTATGTGGAAAATAATGTGTTTTTTGAACCTTAAACCGCATAAACACATTTCATTACACCAAATATACAAAATAATGTTATTTTTTAGCAACATCATATGACCCCTTTAAAGCTGTTTTGGCTGGTAAACATAGTTTAATCTGAGCATATTTCTCTCCTGATTCAGACCAGATAACTTTTTCACTGGAGGAAGCAATATTGTGGATAGAGGACATGTATTATAGCCAGAAACAATGATCTGAAGTGAAAAACACCTTAATAATGAATTCTTCTTAGACACATGCAGCTTTTCACTTCACTGTATGTTAATCGATGGACTGGAGTGGTGTGGGTTACTTGTGGATTACTATAATGTTTTTATCAGCTGTTTAAACTCTCATTCTGACGGCGCCCATTCACTGCAGAGGACCCAGTGGTGAGTAAGTGATGCTAAATTTCTCCAAATCTGATGTGATGAAGATACAAACTCATCCACATCTTAGATGGTCTGAGGGTGACAATTTTTGGCAAATTATAATTTTGGGGTGAACTATTTCTTTAAGTCCAGTAATGCAATCATCTGGATAGCTTTTTTTTCAGCACTTGAAGATATTTACTGCAGATGAGCCTGGGACATAAAACTCGATTAAACCTCTTGGTATTTACATCATGCTGACTTTGGATCAGATTCTTGTGACCTTAATTCCTGTTAAAGGCCCCGGCTAGTGATATATTTATCTTTCCGATGGGTATTAAAGTTACACCCCTGAGGAACACAAAAGGTGTTTTTGTGGACTACAGGATGTGTTTACTCATGCACTGAGGAACAACATTGACTGAAAGATGAAGAACAGATCTACAGTAGCTCATGCCAAGTACACCTCTTGATAAACACTAAGTCAATAAATATATAAAGTCGCTTAGTCATGTGTGTATTTACTCTCTTGATAAATTGCACGAGCAGGCATATTGTAATTGAGTTTTCGCAGATTTTCAGAAATTACTCGTACATGCCGGATGGGAAAATGCACAAAGAATGAGAGTTCTGTTTTCTGTAAATTGAATTAAATTGAATTTTCCCTCTCAATTGAATGATGTCAGTTGCATATGACGGTGGTCATGTGTACGTGCTCAGAACCGCACAGTGTAGTGTTTACGTGTCTGCTGGAGACGGGCTGGGTCTCATGTTTGTGTATGTTCTCTCTATGAAGCAGTATGAACCATGACCCGCTTAAATTACTGACATGATGTTTTGATAACAATAATATTGTTTCTGTAGATTGAAAAACCTTGTATGATGGTACTACTTGCCCTCTGCGCACAGAGTTTTCCAAGTACACTACTGTTCAAAAGTTTGGGGTCAGTAAGATTTTTTTATTTAAAAAAAAAAACGTCTCTAACACTCACCAAGGCTGCATAAAACAACTGCTTTTTATTTGAATATATTTTAAAGTGTAATTTATTGCTGTGATCAAAGCTGAATTTTCAGCATCATTACTTCAGTGTCACATGATCCAGACATCATTCTAATATGCTGATTTGCTGCTCAAGAAACATTTCTTATTATTCTTATTATCAGTTATGGAAACTCCTTAATATTTTGTGTGGAAACCATGATAAAGTTCAAAGGAACAACATTTATTTGAAATAGAAATTGTTTCAGTATCAGTGTTTTACTGTCACTTTTGATCAATTTAATGCATTCTTGCTGAATAAAAATATTATTTCTTAAAAAAAATTATTTGTTTAAAAGATACTTTTGAACGGTGATGTACTTCTACAACTCTCTTTAATGTTTCATACAATTGACTTTTTTTTTTTTTTTCAGATGCCCAACTTTAAATAGATTTTTTTAATAGATTGCATGTTGAAATCATTTGATTAATCATTATCATTTTGTTAGGTCACACAATGCACTCCAGTTGAAAATACAGATTATTCAAGAGAAAAGGAGTCAAGTCCAGACAACTCTATACTGACACCAAGAAAAAAGACGGTAAGAATCACCAACATTAGCTATATATTCTGTATATAGGTATTATAATATCTATTTTAGAGACTTGCTTCATCATAGACATTTGTAGAGAGAACCTTATTGAGTCAAATCAATAAAATGGATTACAGTGTCAATAGTTACGTGCAATTATAGTCATTATCATGGTATAATCACGTGCTTGTTGTTTGAATTCTCTATGGGCCTGATTTATTTATCATCCAGCTTTATTCTATTAAACAGAAGTAATTTGAGTTATGATCCTCGTTGTAGCTTCCTTGAAGGAAGAGTCTTCACATTCATAAATCTGAAATATTTTTCCCCATCTTCCACCTTCCCGAAATATCTCCGCCAAGGAAGGTCTTAACACACAATGGCGTATGCTGTGTTTTTGTGTTATCTTTGAAATCCAAAGCTATTGAAAGTCCTCTGTTTACATAGACATGTGGTGCTGATCAAACCGAGTTTGGCCAGATAAGGCCTGTGGGAGAACCGTCTAATCGGTGAACTGATGTCGTAAACAGACAGAGAATTGCTGACGGAGAATTGCTTGATGTGGCTTTCATGAAAAATAAGACCACTTCCTACAGCGGAGACGTTTCCAGTTACATAAGGGGTCAATGAAATCTTTCAGTTGAACACGTAGCGCTAGCTGAACTGACTCACTCAGATTACCGCATTTTGTTTTGGGAAAACCAGCATAAATAGAACTTTATACACGGGGCATCTGTTGACATCTACGCTGGAGTGGTAGTTTAACAAGTTTGAAAGAAGTTACCTTGACTGTTTTGCAAATCCTTAGCAGATAAAGGAGATGTACATTTCTTTTATTTATTGACTTATTTTATATAGCATGAGTGGAATACTTGTTGTTATCTCTCGAAACTTTAACATTTCCTTGTTTTGGAGGATTTCATTGTACTTGCCATTAAGTTTTATGATTTGTTATTTCTATTGTTCTGATCAATAACTGACGCGCAATCACAGAGTCATCATGAAGTTAATGGTTTGCTTATCATTAATCTTCATTGAACGTGGGTCAAAGTTTACAGAGACCTTATTTGTCCTACTTTTAATCGAACTTTGCATTGGGAAGGCCTTGGGCATCTAGAAGGTTCAAATTGTTTACAAAAATTAACAGCATCTTTGGTTGCAAAGTAACACTAGCACTACACCAACCATTGATATTTGAGGGTATCAGTTGTAGCTATCATCTCTATTTATGCTTGCATAATTTGTTTTGAGGGTTTTGTTTACTGTTCAGTGTGTAATAAGTCTCTGTTGAAATGTAACTAGGGAGTCAGGTTTGTTAGTGGAAGACTTTCTACCAATGAAAAGTGAGGACAGAGAAACTTCTAGATCTGGACAGCCTTGGAAAAACAAACAAACTCTGGTTTATTAAAATCTGATACCTCAAATCAATGCGGCTTCTTGTTTCTAAATCTGGAGGGTGTTAAAGTTGGCAAACAAATCCAGTAGAAATGCACCACTCAAATAAATGCTTTTCTTTTAAACTTTTTATTTATTAAAGAATCCTAAAAAAATCATAGTTTTCACAAAAGAAAAAAAAAATTAAGCAGCACAACCGTTTTCAACATTGATAATAATAAGAAATGTTTTTGAGCACCAAATTAGCATATTAGAGTGATTTCTGAAGGATCATGTGACACTGAAGACTGGAGTAATGATGCTGAAAATTCACAAGAATAAATTACATTTTACAATATATTACAACAGAAAACAGTTATTTTAAATTGTAATAATATTTCACAATATTACTGTTTTTGCTGTATTTTTGATCAAATAAATGTAGCCTTGGTGAGCAGAAGAGGCTTATTTCAAAAACATCAACAAAAACATAAACAGATCTTACCCATCCCAGTTATCTGAACAATAGTGTAAGTGAATGAGTAGTGGGGCCAAAAATTGCCATAAGAGAAGTTTATATTATCTGTGCACTATATTCCAAAATTTCTAAAGCCATATGATGGGTTTATGGGACGAACTGACTGAAATGTAACTTCTAATTTTCACATTTAGGTAACCTGTTCAATTGCATCTAACATCTTGAAAGATCACACAGCGTCCTGTGCTTTTGCGTGACGTTAGCACTTCGACCCTTCTATAAACAGTCAGTCGAAAGCGTTTAACGCAGAACTCAATAAAACAATGATTTTCCGGTGCTGTTTACATCATTAACACATTAGCGTATAGATGTCCAGATCTCGCTTAGTTACTGTGCCTTAAATGGGTCCCATGTGGGCTGCGATCAATAGCGTCCTCTTTACCGTAGTCAAAGCCATTACCTACTTGACCGTCTGTGCCTTCAGGACTAAGTGCGTTGAAGATCAATCTAATCCTGTTGTAGTCTTTGTGTTACGTGACTTTGATCTCATTTGCTTTGGGAGTTCAATTTCGTCATCTCTTCCACTTTGCTGTGAGATATCGGCTTGTTATTCACAAATCAATGCTGAAAAGTTTAGATTTCAGACTCTCTTCTGGCCAAACACAGTTGTGATCCCAGGGTGCTGGTGCCATGGTTTGCTGCAGTCTTGCAAATACAAATGGTTTAAGGTCTGTTTATCGTTTGCATCATTAAGTGGCAATGAATCGATCTGAATTTGACTGGGCTCTTGTGCGCCTGAGATTTTTTACCTCTTACACTTATTCATCTGGCTTTCGACATGTACAGCCTTTATCGGTTAGAAAGGTAAGACAAATGTGAACTAAGCTTATTCATAAATACCTTTTACTTGTTATTGTGCTTTGCATAACTATCTTCATGTTGGTGTTTCCTGGCGTCATCCAATTTGTAATGAATGTACATTTCTGTCCCTCTATCTTCATCTTTCTTTTGATTTCTGTCTTTCAGGTGAAGAAGATAAAGACAGAGGCTGTGCCGAGATCTTTTCCTCAACCGGCTCCCTCCGGTGATCCCGTCTCCAGGCCTCTGCCCCATCTTCCAGACAGAAGCTCGGGTGCTAGTGCTCGGTTTCCTCCACACACTCCAGACCAGAGCATCAGCTCAAGTGTTGACGGCATGAACCCGAGTCCTCAGACCGTAAGCCCTGCCAGATCCACAGAGATCAGGTCAGTGTGCTTCCCATGGACAATTACTGCTGCGTGAACGGTATTTTTTTATGCTTACCAAGGCTGCGTTTCTTTGATTTGCATTTCTCAATGAGGAACCTGTAGATTAATGTTTTGATTAATCTTTGATCATTGATGTAGTGAATTGGTACTTTTCCATCATTTCCCATAAAACAAAAACTTTGTCAAAGGGCCTTGTTGTTCACTCAGGGAGGTGGTGGCTAAGCAGGATTTCTGTTTTGTAATTCATGACGGCAGTTATTATTTTAATACCCTTGTCAGACTGTGTAACGCCACTTAAGAGCTTCAGTGATGTGGAAAAATATTTCCCTTCTACTCCGATTCTTCAAGAAATCTTGCGAAATGTCTTTGTAGGTACATGCGGTACCCTAATTCTTAGCAGGATTTACTGTGAGATGGCAATTTACGCATTTCACATTTTACAACAAGAGGGAAGCACCTTGATACACACACACACACACACACACACACACACACACACACAAATGCCCAAGATCTTTGTTCGTAAATCATGTGATTCTTGAGCTTTTTGGAGCCAAATGGACTTGAATTTCTTTTTTGTTTTATTCCTGTGTGAACAGGACGTAAATCCTTTGTATTGGATGGTTGTGATTCAGTGCAGCCAGCACTCGAATCACACAAATATTTACTTCCCTTTTGACACACACACACACATCTTACGACAGCGTTCATGGCAACGTCGCACGTACTTCTGAATGGTGCGTGCCAAATCACACAGTGAATTGACCTTTCAATCATCTCCACATTTTTAGAACTGGTTTTTAAAACCCAATCCAAACATAGCAATTAAATGGATTATAACAAGAATTTGTGCCACAGAAATTTACACAGATTTGACTGACCATCATTGACAAAGTTATACAAATCCAATGCCCCTTGCATTCTTTTATGAAATATTTTGGCTGATTTAATTTTCAACGACATATAAACACTGATTTTCAACGCTGATTTAACTTTCAGCTACATATAAAAAAGGTATTGTTTTACAGTTCAAAACCTAAACATCCTAGATAAATAAGATAATTTGGTAACACTTTAGTATAGGGACCAATTTTACTATTAACTAATTGCTTATTAGCATGCCTATTATTAACATATTGGCTGTTTATTAGTGCTTATTAAGCACATATTCTGCATGACCATATTCTACATCCCTAATCCTTATCCAATAACTAAACTTATCCTATCCAATAGCTACCTTACTAACTATTAATAAGAAGCAAATTAGGCGTTTATTGAGGCAAAAGTCGTAGTTGGTTTGTTAATAGGAAGAATTGGACCTTAAAATAAAGTGTGACCGTTCATTTTAAAGACAAGTCTTTTTTCAGTTCAATTAAGGTTTTCTCAACTATTTGTGCTTAAAACAAGAAAAAGAAAAAAAAACAGTAGAGCGTGTTGCTAGCAATGCCATGATCATGGTTCGATACTCAGGGAACGCATGAACTGATCAAATGTATTGAATACGTTATGAGTTGCTTTGGATAAAAGCATATGCTGAATACATAAATGTAAAAGTGAAAAAAAAGTGTTAACATTTCATATCAATTTAGCTTCTCAAGTAATTACATTTTAGCTTATCATATTTGTATTATCTGTATCCGTGTTTGTATTATTATTATTATTATCATATTTTGTCTTATCTTTATTTTTGTCTTGGATGGAAATTTTGTTAGTTTGAAGGATGTTTATATATACTGTGTGTGTGTATATATATATATATATATATATATATATATATATTACAAATAATGAAAAATACTGATTCAAATAAAAAAATGTCATGTTCCTAATGATTGCTTATTATGTAAAAACTGAAAAATCTGATTAATATATTTGTTTTAAAATCTGTATCCTTCAAACTAAATACATTTTAATACAAAACTAAATAAAGTTAAATAAATAATGTTTTTACCACAAAAACGTGAAAAATATGGATTCTAATTCATTTTTCATGTACCTGATGATTGCTCATCATCGTTTTGTAACAATTAAAAATAATATTTATTTATCTTTATTTTGTCTTGGATGAACATGTATTTACTTTAAAGGATGTTTAGATATTTCTTTTTTTTTACTACAAAAAGTGAAAAAAATATGGATTTAAATTTCCATGTACCTGATGATTGCTCATCATCATTTTGTAATAATATTTATCTTAATTTTGTCTTGGATGAACATGTATAGGTTGAAGGGTGTTTAGATATTTTTACTACAAAAATGGAAAATAATATGGATTCAAATTAAAGTATTCATGAACCTGATGATTAATTATCATTGTTTTGTAAAATATGTATTTATTTATTTTTGTAGTGTAATGTTTCCATTTAACACATTTGACCATTTTTAAGTCCATTCCACAGATATTCTTCTCAAAAATCGAAGAAACTGTGATAAAGTCCACTGTTTTTCTCAGGGCCTTATGATTACTATATTAGCCGTTGTTTATTGGCATTAATGCAGTCCCCCTGGTTTCCTGGAGATGTGGATTGTTTTGTTCTCAGTTGTGATATTAATTCCCAGCAAATCTGAATCTGTGAAACATCCCCTCCTGAGCTCATCAAGTTTTGTTGGCCAAGCTCCAGCATGTGGAGTGGATACGGTTCTTTCCAGCTGTAGTAATTACTGGAGACAAGTCAAACAAAAGCTCTGAACTACATGTACATGTACATTGTTCACCAAACAATAGGCACCCTGAGACCCTCGGACCATGTGCTCTGAAAAAAAAAAAAACAGTTTTGTTTACTCTGGCAAATACCACATATGTTTAGATTTTGCTGTTCAGTGAGCCTGACCTCTGTTTTCGTTTTTTCCAGCCTCCAAGAAGATGGAAGACCAATATCTCCTTTCTATATTAGGTAGGACCACTCACAGTTTTTCCTCACTCTTTCTTTGTTTCCCCACTTTTGCTGAAAAACCGAAGGCTATTATTTCGGAGGCATGAATGGGCTTTTTACAATATATCTTCATAATGAAAATGATCTAGACATTTTATTGTACAAACAAGGTCTCAATTTACACCCTCAGATTTTTCAAAACAACTTTGTTCTTGTACGTTCAGCATCAGTAGGTGATTATGTGGTAGTACAGTAAATGTCACAAATGTCATTTGTCCAAATCTTCCCAATAGTACGCACAAATGATCCCTCAAACAACTGAAATCCTCTTAGTGTCACGTCAGGGATACGTGCTAATGGTTTCTGGTTGAATTCAGTCGGAGCGTGATGGATCTGGTCAAAATAAACCTCTCTTGTGGTTGTTTTCTCGGTTCCTTCGTGTGTTGACTCATTGCATCAGCTCCGGTCCCCTCTCGTACCATAGCAACTGACCCTTCACACATTTCCCATCACATAGTTTACCCAACCCAGCCCTCACTAGTGTTGTGAATATGGGCCTTAAAGGAATAGTTCACACAAAAATGACAGTTCTGTTCATTATGTACTCACCCACATGTCATTACCAGCCCATGTGACTTCTTAACTGAGAATTCTTAACTGATCTGGGTTGTTTTTTTCTAATGTCTTTTATTGTTCTCCTCACACTGCATTTCACTGTCATTAAGGAATGCAAGCAAATACATTTACGAGTGTATTTTCTGGAAACTTTAACCTCTTGTTGGAGTGAGTTTATGCTTGAAGTGTGTTTGCCTACTTGGCATCATGTCGGAGAAGATGTCAGTCAGTGAATAAATAATTTTAGCCCGCCAAATATTGTCTTTTATAGTTCTGGAGTTTTCGATTGTGGTTAGATCTATTGAGAGAGATATAATGTTACATATTGTACGCATCAGTGTTCAAGTTTTTGTTTTTGTTTTGTTTTTATTTTGCTCTCCCAGGCTGAATTTATTTGATAAAAAAATTATTAAAAATAATAATATTGTGAAATATTATTACAATTTAAATAACTGTTTTCTATATGAATATTTTTAAAATGTAATTTATTTCTGTGATGCAAAGCTGAATTTTCAGCATCATTACTCCAGTCTTCAGTGTCACGTGATGCTTCAGAAATCATTCTGATATGCTGATTTGCTGCTCAAGAAATATTTCTTATTATTACCAATGCTGAAAACTGTTCTACTGCTTCATATTTTTGTGGATTCTTTGATTAATCAAAAGTTCAAAAGAACAGCATTTATTTGAAATAGATTTTTTTTGTAACATTATAAATGTTTTTACTGTCACTTTTGATTGATTTAATGGATCCTTGGTGAATAAAATATTTATTTCTTAAAAAAAAAAATTGTACTAAACCGCAAACTTTTTACGGTACTGAAATTATTTATAAAGTATGTAAATTCCTAGTTATAAAAATATATTTTCATTTAGTGTGTATATATTACATTTGTCGTGTTTTTATTTGTTATTATTTTAGGTAACAAACACATCTTTAATGTTGGCCTCTTTAATCATCGCCAGTTTCCCCCATGTTTCACTGACCACTGTGAACTAGATTTGGAGGATGACTATATGGAAGGACTAGGTTAGCAGACTAGCAGTATTTAGTGCCAGCTTGTACTCAGTCCAGCATTCAGGTCCCGTCATCCTCGCCCTTGGAGTGCACCGTATGACTGCTGTGTTATATAAGACCGACAGACCTCATCAAATCATCTTTAGTCCTCTGTCTCAACACATAACTGTTCTCACTGGCCTATTCTTGGTAGCCTTTGATACCATCTACGTTTGCATCTAACGATCATTCCTTTTGATACTGCTCAATACCAAGTTAATAGTTTGCTCATGGTGTTTAAATAGCGAGTAGTCAGCTGTGAGCAGTTAACTGGCTCTGACCCTGAGAGCGCTGCTGGGAACTGTTGTGTCCGGACCCTCAGCCTATTTCCGGATACAAAAGATAATGCCGCTATTTTTTACCGTGGCGTCATTTTCGGGAACTTTCTTTCCAATCCACGAGAATTTAGCTTGTGGTAAGTAATATTTGTTTCTTTGATTTGGATGATCAGATGAGGTCACTAAACCAATAGGAGATTTTCTCTGGTTTTCAAAAAAATCTGGTTATTAATTTCTCTTTGGATACAATTGGATGGAACTGATGCTAAGCTTAATAATTCAGTATTTTCTCTCTTCTTTATTATGTTGTTCTCTTTCTTTAGCTCACAGATCTCTCCTGGACACTGCAGACCTGAATTAACAACGTAAGTGATTATACAGAGCCTTATGTGACAATTAAATTCTTTTAATAAATCTTCAAGTCAATCTTCTGAATAGACCGATAACTTTCATTGTTCATGTAATTAATGCAATCATAAAGCAATCAAGCAATCATGTCTGTCTCTCTCTCTGTCCAGTTTTCTGGAGAAGACCATTCGCTCAGCGGTCGAGCAACACCTCTTCAACTCGCACATGCCCACAGGTCAGAGTTCAGAGGGCTTGGATCCGACTGCCCACTCTTCATCTCCTGTGACAACAGCCCGAGAGAGGAGGAGACATCTACGAGAACAAGAGGAGAACTTCAGGTAGGAGCGGGTTTCTCCAGAAATACAGCTATTATTCGCCTCTATTGACTGCAGCCAAATGGCATGGTAGCTTAAGTTGTCTATGCAGTGCGCAACCAGTTATCCAGGTCATTGTAGAATGTCCAGTAAATTTATTCTAGTCAGTGTTACATGTTTCTTGGTTTCCCAAGATGTTTTGCCACTCATCAAAAATGGTTTCATCAACTTACATTGACAGTTTCACTGCAGTTCACATCTGTGATGCCGATCTCTACAGCGACTCCCACAGTAATTAGCAAGCCTTTTGATGCCATTCTGTGTGATCTGAATAAACCTGATTGACAGAGAAATCACTGAATTGACTAGAATACTATATATACCAGTATTCAAAAGTTTTGGGTCAGTAAGATTTTTTTAAATACTTTTATTTAGCAAGGATTCTATTTCAAATAAATGCTGTTCTTTTGAACTTTCTATTAATCAAGGAATCATTAAATGTATCACTGTTTGCACAAAGATATTAAGCAGCACAGCTGTTTTAAACATTATAATAAGAAATGTTTTTTGAACAGCAAATTGGCATATTAGAATGATTTCTGAAGGATCACGTGACACTGAAGACTGGAGTAATGATGCTGAAAATTCGATTATAATAAGAAATGTTTTTTGAAAAGCAAATTGGCATATTAGAATGATTTCTGAAGGATCACGTGACACTGAAGACTGGAGTAATGATGCTGAAAATTCAGCTTTAACATCACAGCAATAAATTACATTTTACTATATATTCAAATAGAAACCTGTTATTTTAAATTGTAATAATATTTCACAAAATTACTGTTTTTACAGATTTTTTAATCAAATAAATTTAGCCATGGCAAGCATGTCAGATTTATTTAAAAAACATCATATTTTATTGTATTTATTTTAGTCGTTCTTTAATTAATTAATGTAATTAATGTAATGTAATTTAATATTTTCCCGGTTTCCAAAAATTAATGATCACAGATTCAATGATTCGGAGACTTTCTGACTTTTGGTGTACCCTACAGTACTGTATATACAGTATATATATAATTTACATGTCATACAACTTAATGCTAGCATATAAGATATTTTAATATTTAAAAAACAATTTGAAAAGAATTGAAAAAAATGAAAATGTGTTCTGCCCACTAACAAGGATGTCCAGCTTCAGACGATATCAGTCGATTGCTGAAAATCTTAAAATGGACAAATATCTGCAAACCAGCCAGTCTAGCTAATATAGTGAATAATAACCTAAATTTAACCTATCAAAAGTATTTAGTTAATCCCATATTATTATGATAAATACATTTGGATTACTAAAGAATCTGTCATCCAATCTTATTTCCATTCCAGCTTGGGTCATTGCTTGCTGGATCTCAGAGCGATCGAACTAATCCTGTTGACAGGAACTATCCACAGAGACACTGAAAACATTAGATTAGTGGCTCAACAGTTGTGCTGTGTGACACATACTGATCCAACTCCAGAGACAGCTGTAAATAAAAAGTCAGATGAGGTATCACAGCGACGGCTTCATTTCTGCTCTGCTCTTATGAGTTGATCCCTTGAGTAACGTCACGTGTTGATTCTGTGGTGTCTGAAAGCAAAACTGTGTCTTTCTCAGGGTCGAGGGTGATAAAGAGAACGTCCCGTCTCCAGGTGTGAGGGTCACAGAGGAGGGTGACGGGCGTCTGCTGCTGCCGCCACGTGAGGCTCAGAGAAACAGGAAACCCAAACACAGTCCCACACTGACTGAGCACTCAGACAACCGGGATGCCCCCACCGTGAGTCTGCTTTTTAGGATTACCTTCATGGCCTTCTCTCTGTCTTTCTGCAAGCATCCCTATTACTACTGCTCTTACTAAGAAGGAGAGATTTCATCAAACCCCTAACCATAAATATTCAAATTAGGAATGTAACTTGTTCCGCAGTGTTTATGCTACAGAAATGAAGCAATATTCATACAATTTTTGTATGGCGGACCAAAAATGGGTTCTTTTGACTTGGGCCAGTAAGCAACCATTCGTGGCCTAATGGTTAGAGAGTCGGACTCATAACCCAAAGGTTGTGGGTTCGAGTCTCGTACCGGCAGGGATTGTAGGTGGGGGGAGTGAATGTACAGCGCTCT